ATGCTAATTGCGGCACGTGGTAAACATCGGTTCAGAGTGGTTCGTTAGATGTAGTGCAATATTGAATCAGTGCAGTAAATCTTTTGACTGAGGTTACTTTCTCGCTGGCTGTTAAAGTCCGCAAGAATGTGTTTGCTAATCTGCTAGAATGTGCCAGCGCGAGCCAGGACCTTTTCCAGATCGTTACAGCTTTGTGTCGTGATTTTTTCGTTTTAAATGCTGTATCCAGTTGCAACAAGTTTATAACTAGTAATCGCAAACGTCGAACTCGCGCTGCACTCAGCAATAAGAGCTAAAGACGCCGTTGTTGAGTGCAAATTGTAAAAGATTCATGCGCAAAGTCGCTATTGATGCTAAAGACCAACCCAGGCCGGAACGCACCAGGCTCTCCGGTGCGATCATGCATTTTTGCACTAAACTCGCAGATCGCTATTAACAAGAATGATCCCTACGCAGTAGTCTAACACTTGGGAAGTATTGCTCGAGCGGTCGTTTGTCAAAAAACCCATGTTCATTTACATATACGATTGCGGTTCAGGTCCGAGCTGCGAACGATTTTTTTGAAAAAATGCAAGCTTTCAGTTCATTAAAAATTGGAAGTATTTCTCGAACGGTCGTTTTTCAAAAAATCCATGTTCATTTACATATACGATTGCGAGTAAGGTCGGAATTTCGGACGATTTTTGAGTTGAGGAGCTGCTTGAGGCTGTGGTTGGGGGCTAGAGAGCTGAGTTTAAAATTTTTAGCTCGTACGTGCGTAGAGAATATTCCTGCAAAGTTTGAGCTTTCTGCGTTGCCTGGTTCGCAAAATCGTTTCCCGCCAACATATTTCTTTGGGGGTCCCGTACGCGGAATTTGGGCGCGTATGGGGAAAGACCTTAAAAGGGAGGATCGCACGCGGGATAGGAACGTATGTCGAAAGTTTCAGCCTCCCAGAATGTTTTTCCGCTTTCTAGTTTGCCTTTATGCTGGACTTAAATGAAAATCTAATAATTAAATTGAGCACAACGACGATGGTGGGTTGTGCTGGATAGGTTAGGCAGGCACGCGACAAGCTCCATTCGTTCCCATCCCTTCCTCAGGTTGCAAAGTCAGAAGTCAGTGGGCGCTCTCTATCAATTTTTGCGATAAAAATAAAGCTGCTCCGAGCTGTGATTTCCTGGACCCGACACCTATCTGTAAATACAAAGTCGTGAAGATCGTACGAACAGTTTGTGTTATGATCCCGTATTAGTGATATTATTTGGATGTTCCCATACGCCGGCCACGTCTGCATTTAAAATTTCTTTCATTTCAGAGTTTTTGCTTATTATGCAAAATTTGCTAAATGAAAAAAACGCAAAATAAAAGTTCTGACGGTTATTTGCTAATTGAATGTGCAACCGACTTGTCGTATTTTTATTTGCAGATGTATTCCAGCTTCGTGCAACTGATAACGCTAATGCTGGCTGCTGCAGTCGAGGTGTGCCTTTTTTACGTATTCACGCTTTTCAATCAGAAACAATCATTAAACAATGACATTTTTACTGAGAAGAACGAAGAGCGCAACGCACGAAAGAATGCCAGGATCGCTAGTGAACAGATTACTAGATGATTTATCCAAATTAGGGCAAGCACGAAAAATTAGGCAGCGTGCTTCGACAGCGCTATGGGCAACTAGTGTACACTCATGTAGTCTACTCATTGAAGTAAGCGGTTTGCTAACCGCACTAGTGTGTGTGCCCCGGATCCAATTTAAAAGTTTCAGCTAGTAATCAAAAAAGTGGTGCCAGCTGTGTGCTTTCGTGATTATTGATATTTTTCAGATTCGAATTCGTTTCACTTTTGAATTATCTTAACAGTAGCATCCACTGTGATCATAATTCTTCCTGATATTAACTTTCGGGAAAGAAGTTAAGTTGGCAGTTAGAACCCCCCGCATTCGCTCTTTGTTGGGGATTGAGGCGCTTAGAAGTGATTCACGGGTAGTAACACGTGCAAGCAAAATAAGTCCGCTGACACACTCTTTGATGGTTCGCTTTTCGGTGAAAAAGCACTACCGTTGAAAAAGTGCTGCCCAGCCAAATGTACTTTTTATTTCGCATAGTTTAGTACGAGCATCAAATTGATTTTATTGCCTTCCTGAATATTTCAGAGCATTTTTTAAGCAAAATTTAGCTTATTTGGCCAAACGAATTTCTATCGTGTCGATGTTCCTTTGCTGCTTCTTTCACGCATTCTCTGAATATATGGTGAATGTTTTGGTTCGCTGCTGCTCCATATTAGTCAGTTAGCGCGGAAAAAAAAGACAACACATTGTTCCGGGATTTGCCTGTACATAACTTCCGGTCAGCAGAGCTTAGAAGAGAAAGTTAATTAATTTTAGTATAAACTGTTGAAAAGCACGAAGCCACATGTAATCGGAAAATGGGCAATCTGGATGAACACGGTGACGTTCGCTGATAAACTGATTGCAGCAGCAGCAAAAGCTGGAGCTAAACAGCGGCAAAGGAAGTTCAGTGATGTGGAATTAAGGTCCACCTAACGATGTTTCCCAAAATTGTGTGTAATCTGCCCAGCAATTTTCACACCAAAATGAGGACTCCAGAAGCGCGATTGAAGTCGGAAGCCACTATCACACATCGCATGAGGAAAAATGTTTCAGCACCAGTATTAAAAGCCTCGTTTCTTTTGATGAGAAAACTCCAGAATTCCTTGAGTTATCACAAATATGCATCCTTTCCCCATCCTCATATCTTTGTGAATTTCAGGACTTATGCGTTGGTTTTGACAGTATCAGCAATGGGTGTGGTTGCGATAGCATTCATCTGTCTTATAATAACAGTGCATATCTTTATCTACACGAGATGGGGAATCACACGCCGACTTATCCTTCTAAACTCCAAAGTTGCCTAAACAATTTATCAAAACAATATTTCGCATTTGCTGTGTTCTGTTAATTGTCCCTGTGAAAGCTTTTGAATGGCAGCACTCAGTGCCGTGACCCAGCTTTACGCTGGCCGTGATGGGCCTGAGTCTATCAGTCAAGCAATTAAATTTACGTTGTCCGTATCATTCAGACTCACTCGGCATCCCTGGTTCTCCGACAATAAAGTCAGCTGACGTCAATATTCATCTTACAACTGTCTTTCATGAATAACGAGATTTTAGGCATTTAAGCGCATGTGGTTCCTTCTAATTCAAACTTTGATGCGACGCACTGAGCCCTTTCTGCCAAAATTTTTTTGACCCAGCTTGAGCCGGAATTCAAGTAGAACGGGATTGCTGATCCCCGACGTACTCGGCGTAAACAAGACTCATTCCAGGCAACTTATGCATCAGAAATAATGTTTTTGGCAGGCTTCTGAAAAACCGCGTACAAAATTGCTAACACTTCAGGATTTCATTAATGCTACATCACTTTATTCGAACAGTGTATGTTTCAGCGTTATGCATTTTGAGCTGGCATCAGTGCAGATGATGGCCGCCATCTCGCGACTCTAGTGATAGGCCCTGCATTACCAGGTCGTCAACTTGGCGGACGTTCCCTTTCTGCCTCCATTCACTCATTCGGAGGCCTCTGTGACACATAAGCTTGCTTACCAGCACATCTTTTACTTCTAGGTGGAGGAAAAACGTAGGCTGGAACGCACCAGGCGAGCCGGAGCGATCATGCGTTTTTGCACAAAACTTGA